GTTTATCTTTTATAAATGTTTTTCATACTGAGATGCTTTTTAAGTGGAAAATATGGAGCTTACTGTAGATTAAAGAAATGGGATTTGCAAAAAAATAAAGCAGATTATTTTCTTAGTGTAGAATCCTGAGGACAGAAGGTCAGCAGGAAGAAGATGTTCTCATTCAAAGCAATTTAATGTTCTCTAATAAATTGTGTTTTTCAAGAATGAAAAAATATAATCAATAAATGTAAACTTAGCCTTTATATTCTCTTCTAAAGATTCAATTAATTATTAATAATTTGCTTTTTTTTTCATGTCTTGTGTCATCCCTTGAGTTTGAAGACATAATAAGTTCACTTACTCACTCCAGTAAACACAAATGTATTAAAACACAAATTTAATTTTGTTTATCTTAATGTAGTAGCTTTATTGGTCAAAGTTAACTGTCTAAGGTTAAAAAATAGACATTCCTCCAAATAAAACTAAGGAACTGGATTAACTAAGAGACAAAAGGCAGCCAAAGCTCAAAAATAAACATTGAAAGTCTCTCTCTCTCTCTCTCTCTCTCTCTCTCTCTCTCTCTCTCTCTCTCTCTCTCTACATGCCTATCCTTCAAATACAAAAAGTCAAAGAAAGCATCCTTATACTTAAAAACGTTAGCATAATACACGATTTTACGCATTTTGTCTCTTAATTGGCCCATGTTCTTTTGAATTTGGCTCAGTCAAATTGAAACAGGAAGTGACATCAAAGGGGAACTCATTAATAAAATAAACTGTCTGGTCTTTGTTTATTAAAACAAAATTATTTAAACTTTAACTTTTCTTCAACTTCTTTCTGATAGTGACTCAAAATAGTGTAAAGAAACAAATTCTTCTCTACAGTCTGTGTTGTTGGCTGTTGTAACAACGCTCTGTTTACGTGCTGAAATTCCCCTTTGACATCACTTCCTGTTTCTTCACATACAAACATCTCAACACCTCTTCATCTCAGCGACATGAAATTTGTTTTGCAATATGTTATCAAGGTTATCTTTCCAAAAATGCATTCATGTTTATTACAAAAAAATCATGTAACAGGTACTTTAAACCCTATCAAAATCAGTTAAAAAATATAAAAAATGCTGAAGTTTTCATTGTTTTGTGTATATTATTAATATTTGTTGTTTGTGACTCTGCCCTGCTTTCTTGTTGAATATTCTGGAGCCTGTTGCCTCCATCATCATGTTTCATGTGATGGATAAGAATGTAAACATCTGAAGTACCTAAAAGTTTTGGATAGAGCTGCAGGCTCTCCCGCAATAAAACATAATAAAACTCCCTATCAAGTGAAGGAAACGGCTCAGCTGAAGACAGATTTATTTAGAAAACTCTTGGCTGCTTCTTCTTTGCCCTCCCGTAGAAGATGCTTGTTATAAAAGCCCCAAGTGTCTCCTGACTTCGCTGCACATTCTTCTACACGCCAGCACAGACCTTWCTGAGGCAGATTTCTACATCATGTGATGAAATAGGATGTTGTTGTTGTTGTTGTTGCAGGTTGGCTGTAAAGCCAGTTTGGTGTTCTTCAACTACTTCATCATGGCCAACTTCTTCTGGCTGCTGGTGGAGGGTCTCTACCTGCACACGCTGCTGATCGTCATCCACGCATACTCCACCCGCCTCTCCATCTATATGTTCATCGGCTGGGGTAGGCTGCACCAGAACCTGTTAGAATATAAATACTGCTTTACAAGTTTTAGTTGGAAAGTGGAAAAAGAAAGTGAAAACATCTGTGGAATCAGCTATATTTAAAATGTGATGCTTCGTATCAACAGAAAATGAAAAGAGACAACAATTTTAGCAAAACAATCAGTCCAGAATGTGTAATAACAGTGAAGTAACATAACCATTTACAGACTAAACTAACTGTGCCAGTTTCTAAACTACAACTAGATTCTGTTTTATGTGAAGTTTTCACAAATGATCAAAATAATGAAATTCTTTCATTTTTAAGGCTAAAAATGTGTTTGCATTCACAAAAATGTGAGCTATGCAGCTGCAAGTCTGTGCTATGAGCCAAATACCTCATTCYTTTCCTCCGTAAGACTTTATTATTTGTTGCAGAAGAAGAAGTCACACAGACAAACGGCGTGTCCTTCTTTAAAGTGGACCTGTGTGTTCAGGGAACAGTCTGGCTGCAGTTTCCATCGTTTTGTTTCGTTCCGTCTCCATGTGACACCTTCTTCCACTATCTATCATAACTCTACCAACGCTTCCTTAGTTAATGCATCACCGCCGAGGCCCGAGCATTTGATGTGTTTGTGTTAGAGTCATATTTCCTGTGTGGCACCTTGTAGAGATCTGGCAGAAGGAGAAGCTAAACATTCTCTCCGTCTCTCCGATTCCCAGGAATCCCTTTTGTTTTCATGGTGGCGTGGATCATAAGTCGGGTAAATCTGGAGGACACCAGGTGAGTTCACATCTTCTGACCTGCAAAATGTAAAGTACTCACAGTGAGCGGTTACTCCTCTGGCCCAGGTTGTGGGGTTTTGTTCACATCACAGCAAAACATTTAGTGAACTCTAACTAAATTAGATTTCAACTAATGCTCAAAAGTTACATTCAGAAAAAAAAAGAAAGTAAATTCTCCTGAAATGTTTTAAATCATCAGGCTGATCAGCTCTATAAAATCAGTTTTTGCAGATTGCTGTGCTGAAGCATACAGCTGTGTGTTCACACAATGCCAAGTCGGAAAGTCAACAGCAGCGACTTTAGGGAAGCAACAAAACCTTTAAGACAGTTTAGAATCTGTCCAGGAGTGAATGCTCTCAAGGTGAAACCACCCGACGCTCAGAGAAAATAAAACACAAAACAACTATAGTTTGCTTTTCCTGCAAAACTGCAGAGAGACTGTTTAATGCTGAAAGATTTTTGCTGAAAGCTGCTGAAGAAGCAGCAAAATTTAGCTCAGTTTCTTTAAAAATGATTCAGCTGAAGGTGAAAGAGCTTAACTCAGCACGAAACAGGTGAAACTAGTGGAAAATTAACTAAAACATACTAAATAAGGCTAAGATTGACTAAAAGAACCTAAAAGTAGCAACAAGTTGAAAAGAACAGACAGACAGTGACAGGACTGTAATCAATTTCAAATTAGAAGGAAATAAAATGTGAACAAAATTGTAGCAATTTGTTGTGAAATAAATCAAACAGGCAAAAACTGGACAAAGAAACTGGACAAAGAAACTGGACAAAGAAGCTCAAACATTTATTGAATTTAGCCGTAAGAAGTTCAGATTATCACAAGTGTACATTTGGTAATGCTTTCTTTTACAGTACCCTTATTACCATGTAATTACAAGGTAATAAAATGTAATTAAATGGTAATTACTATTTTATTACCATGTAATTACGTGTTAGTGTACAAAAGAAAAACTACTGTTAGTAAAACTACCTTTATTGGGTAACTACAATCAAATTACTMTTCAATAGTAACTCAACACTATATTTATAACCAAAAGAATGCAATTAAATTTTGGGGTTAGTGGTTAATTGCAATAAAATATCACTTTAAAACTGTCCAAATTTCCTACTACTTATTTAGGTGTTACATAGTGAATTGTAATACATTACCAGGTAAGTGCTACATTACTGCAGACAATTAATTACGTATGAAAATTGTATCCTAATTACAAAGTAATTACATGGTAATAAGGTAGTAATTACCATTTAATTACATTTTTAATTACCTTGTAAATACATGGTAATAAGGGTACTGTAAAAGAAAGCGTTACCATACCTTTAGCTGAAAAATTAGCTAAAAAAGCTAAAAACACAGAAGACAGCTGAAGTTAGCACAAAAAGCTAAAAATTACCAGGAAGAAGCTAAAAGTTGTGCAAACATGWTGAAATTAGCAGAATAGCAGAAAATGTCGGGACGATAGCTAAAAAGGCAGAAAAATGTCTAAAATCAACAAATCAGAAGCTGAAATTAGTACAAAGAAGTAAAATAAAACAGAACTAAAGGTGAAAAGTACAATAAAGATTTATGAACATTTTTAAGGGTTTTAAGGATGTTGAAGACAGCTTCATTCATTTTCAATGTAGAAAATATGGTAGAAAAAACTAAATATGTCAAAGAGTATAAATTACTGAAATACCAAAAGTCTTAGCAAGAGTGTCCAGAAACAGCTGAACGTTTTAATTTATAGGTTGTCGAAAAAGCACAAAAATTGCAGAACAAGATACGTGCCGAAAAACATACAGAAATAAAACTGATCTCAGTGCTTGATGAGTAAGAAACATCAGCTCCATCTCTGCCTTACAGGCCTCAGTCAGCAGGTCAACGGTCCTGACAGGACAGTAAAAACAACTGAACAAGGGTTGCTTGTTTAGAGGGGCTGCAGAAAGCTGAGAAAGCTTCTTAAAACTAATAAAAGCAAGCCTCTGAATGACTGATGAGACCAAAGTAGAGAGGTTTACCCACAGTGCCATGTCTGGTGAAAACTAAACACAGCGAGTCAGCACAAACACCTCCTTAGTTCCATCAATCACAGAGGCGGCTGTTCGGAGGTCTACACAGTAAATGTGTGTGCTGTGTTCTGTTACTGCTSTTCACCACTAGGTGGCACTGCTGTGACACCACAGAGCAGGAGACTGTTAAATACAGAGGTCTGCAACCTGCGGCTCTTTGAAGCTTTGACCAAAACTAACACGAGATTACTTATATGCTATTTATGTCTYGCTGCAGAATAATGACAACCAAAAATCTTCTGTATTTTTGAACTACAGCTGCTGGGAGATTAACGATAACCCTGTTCCTGACAGACTCATCAACTGGCCCATCATGGCGTCTATCATTGTGAGTTTTATCCAGATTTTACAACAGTTATTGTAAAATCAGCCAAATTTAGTTTCATCTTCATCTGACGATTATTTGAAACTATGACATGAAAGCAGCAATCAAAATGTTCTCCATGTAAATGTTTTCTTTTTTGTTTGATTGTCTTATTAAAGGTGTCTACGAGAAAAAAATCATCATATATTTGAGCCTTTCTAGGCTTTTTTCACTCTTATTTATTTATTTATTTATGTCTTTAAGATAAATTTCATCCTGTTCATCTGCATCATTCGTATCCTGGTGCAGAAACTGCGCAGCGCGGATGTCGGAGGAAACGACCAATCACAATACAGGTGTGCTGAGGAATCGACGAATCACAGGGCTCCACTGAAAACCCTGGGGTGGCGCCAAAACCAAAATCAGACTTGTGATGTTGTTGTCAAATTTAAGTTTTTTGACAAATTCATCAATACGATAGTTAGAAAACCACCATCAGATGTGTTTAGCTTTTCTTTTTGCAACCAATACTGTATGGAGAATTTATTTTTGTTTTATGTTTAATATTTTCTCAGAAGTTATATGAAAGTTTTTGTTTGATATCAGATAAATGTGGGCCTTCATCGGTCATTGTGCTTTTTTTTTTTGTGTGTGTGTGTGTGTGTTTGTGTTTAACCTCCAGGCGGCTGGCCAAGTCCACCCTCCTTCTCATCCCTCTGTTTGGGGTGAACTACGTGGTGTTTTTCTACCTGATGGAGCCGGCCAATAAAACCCTGAAGCAAGTCAAGATCTTCTTCGACCTCGGCCTCGGATCCTTCCAGGTGAGACGTGACAGAACTCGGACACAGTTACCGAGAATAGTTGTTGAAAACACGGCATCGCCTTTATTTACTTTGCTTGGAAGAAAGCAAACTTTGGTCCGTTTTAACGTCAGTTTTTTTGTCTTTCAGGGTCTAATTGTGGCYGTTCTCTACGGTTTTCTCAACAGTGAGGTGAGCGTATCGGAACATATCCATCTTATAAGTAATAAGTGAGTCAGAAGTATGAACGACTCGGCATTTTTCCTCTCTGCATGTTAAGGTTCAGAGTGAGCTGAGGAGGACTTGGAGGAGTTTAACTCTGAAGCGTTGCGTGGAACAGGACTGCAGACTCCACGCCGTGTCGGTGAACCAAAACGGCGCCAAAAACTCAACGCCGTTTCACAGAAACGTCCGAGCCCAGTCCATCCTGCAGACCGAAACCAGCATGCTCTAACCAAAGAACAAAAGAAATAAGACGTTTTTCCACTGGAGAGGAAGACGGTGACAGGGACCTGAAATGTGACCAAAGTGCCTCTAACGTCTATCAATGAGAAAAAGATGAGAGAAACTGTTGGTTATTGTCGGAAATTCTTCTATTCTTAGTGTAATAATCTCAGTGAATGGTCAAGTGTCATACTTTTATATGAAAACACCAGATGAGATCTTTTAACTCATCAAATATTAAAACCATCCAACCATTATCTTCAGTTTGTTCTGGAGTCAGGAGCAGCTTGAGCAACGAGGCCCAGACCCCCTCTTTCCACAGCCGCCTCCTCCAGCTCTTCTGGGAGGATACCAAGGAGTCTCCAGACCAGCCGAGACACAAAGTCTCTCCAGSGTGTCCTGAGTTTTCCCCAGGGACTTCTCCCTGTTGGACCTGCCTGAAACACCTCACTATGGAGGGGTCCAGGTGGTTCCTCTTGATGCAGAGAGCAAAGGTGTGTCTCCTGGAGAATTAAACTTTTACCCTATCCCTGAGGGAGAGTCCAGCTGTTCTTCAGAGAAAACTTCTTTAGACTTCTTGTATCTGCAGTTTTATTGTTTCATGGTTCATGTTTCAATTCTTTATTAATTTCATTAAAACAAAACAAATAATTTGATATACAATATACAATAAAAAATATAAAAAGAAAAAATGAGAGAAAAAATATATCCATCCATCCATCCATTTTCTGTACACGCTTCTTCCTTTTCAGGGTTGCGTGGGTCACTGGTGCCCATATCCAGCAGTCACAGTGCGAGGGGCGGGGTACACAAATTTATGTATATCAAAATCRCAAATAAAATGAAAAGAAAGGCAGCAGAGAGAAGAAAAAAATCTTATATCTGCCCCTTTTTCCCAAGAATAAGTTCATATAACAAAACATCTGTTATTAACAAAACAAAAGACAAGAACATTTAATCCCTCTAGAACAGGGTTCTGCAACCTTTACGATCAAAAGAGCCATTTGTGCTCCTTGTCTCACTAATAAAATGTGTCCGGAGCTGCAAAACAAGCTACAACTATGATTATCAACTACTAGTTTTCAAGAACTTTTATGGCCAGTGGAGGTGACATTATAAAACTAAAAACTATATTGTTAATTTTGGAATTCAAAATTATTTTTACAAATCAGGACAAATGAAAAGACCATATTCATGTAAACAAAAAAAATTCTGTTTATACCGAATTTTATAAAAACTAGTACAACTGAACTATTCAGGTACATATTTTTTCTAATTATTATTATGT